TCCATATCAAAATATAATTTACATGGAATAAAACTCATGTATTTTATAGATGTCATACAGTGAATAATCTTTTGTGCTAGACTTCTTTCATTTAGTATGTTTTTGAGATTCAGTCCTGCTGGTGTGTGTTATTTTGTTCTTTTTTATTGCTATTTCATGGTATGAATATACCACAATTCATTCATTAGTTGATGGGTATTTGGGTTGTTTCTAGTTTGGGGCTAGTATATAAATAATGATGCTGTAAATATTCATGTACAAATTTTTGACTCAGTTGATTTTTTATTATTGGTCTTTAGAAATCTTGCTGACCTCTAGTTTGAATAATTTGACTTTCTTAGATTTTCTGCATAGATTATTTACAAATAATAACAGTTTTGTTTTCTTTTTTCTAATACCTTTTGTTATTGTTTGTGTACTTGCTAGGATCTCTAGTGCAGTGTTGAATGGAAACAGTCAATTTTAGTGGGCATTCTTTTTTTTTTTTTTTTAATTCTACCTTTTAGGTACAATAGTGGGCATTCTTATATTGCTGAACTAAAAACGTATGATGTAAGTATAAAGTTTCACCATTAAGTATGAGGCTTTCTGGCATTCTATTATTACCCTTACTGATGGTAAAGAATTCATCTTTTGCTAGTTTGTAAAGATTTTTTTTTTTTCATGGAAGTAGAATTTTGTTAAATACATTTTCTGTATATTTTAAGATAGTCACGGAGTTTTTTTTTTCTTCCTTAAATCTTACATGCCTTTTTCTTTGAGTAAAGCTTACTCTTTGAAGTGTTAAAATTTAATCACTCTAAAAACACTTTTAATCTCTTAGATTAATGACTTTTTAATCTTTAGCATACTTTAATACCTTCTCTATGACTCGGATTGTAATATGGAACATCATTAAGCTATCATACATGATGTTAGTTCTTGACCATAAATTGCTCAAGATATGTGCCATATCTTAATCATGTTTGAATTTTCTGCAGTATCTAGCAAAGTATATTGCAAATAGCAGGCCTTAATAAATACTGAACTGGGCTAGCTGCTCTTGCTAAATAGCCAGTTTGTTTTACGTCATGAATTAGGTTGCATCTCTCCCTTCCCTCATTATGCTGGCTGCTGATACAACTTTTATGAATCATAAAAAATTTAATAGCCAAGCTTTTAAAAATATATATATATCTAAGTTTTATTCATTCATCAAATTTGTGAGCAGCAACTAATGCCAAGCTTGGCTTGGAGCTGCCAGTAATGCAAAATGAATGTGAATAGATACTCAAAAGAATCTTAAAGCCTAGCAGAGAAAGATAAGATTTTTATGTGAATTATTCTAATGAAAGAAAAGTGATCACTAGAAATTTAGAGAAAAAAGATTGGATAGGCTTTGGAGATTTAACAGCTTTTTTATGAAGTACATGATGATGGTGCATGGGTATGGGGTCTATAATTTGGCTGACCAAAGACTCTTGTTTACTTCCTGATTCTGTTTGTTTTTTTTTTTTTTTTTGAGACGGAGTTTTGCTCTTGTTACCCAGGCTGGAGTGCAATGGCACGATCTCGGCTCACCACAACCTCCGCCTCCTGGGTTCAGGCAATTCTCCTGCCTCAGCCTCCTCAGTTGCTGGGATTATAGGCACGCGCCACCATGCCCAGCTAATTTTTTGTATTTTTAGTAGAGACGGGGTTTCACCATGTTGACTAGGATGGTCTCGATCTCTTGACCTCGTGATCCACCCGCCTTGGCCTCCCAAAGTGCTGGGATTACAGGCTTGAGCCATACTTCCTGATTCTTAAGCCACATTTCTCATTGTTGAGGTGCTGAATAAATTGACCTGTGCATAAGTGAAGTATTTTGTAAGTGAAATGCCTCAAGAAATTGAATTTTTAAAAACTTATAATAGTGTCTAGAAGTGACGTTTGAATGAATATGAGAAGTCAAACTCTGTAGCATGGTTTACAAAGGTCTTTTGTGACCTGCCCCAATTTCTTGTTCATCATCTCTCTTACCCCTCTCCACATATTGGACACTCCAGCAAAACCACATGTGGCTCCTGGAAATGTCATACATTCTAGCTACGTAACTTTTAAAAAATCTTTGCCATATATATAATTTCCTTTAACTCTATCTTCTGCTGAGGTAATGAGTATTTGTCTTTTAACAATCCACTTAAGTACTTTCTCCCCTGGGAAGTCTTCTTTAAATTCATCCCCTCTGAAGTGCTCTCTATGCATTTTACTATTAGAGCTTGTATCATATTTATTTTCTTTTTGTATATTTATCTGTTTTCCAGACTGATCCAACTGGTCTCTTTCTTGGTGGAGAATATCTTTCCAGTGCCATCTTTTCAGTGCCTAGCACAGCTCTTGACACATAGTAGACATTTATAATTTATTCTCAAAATGATTGTTGAACAGTTAAAAATGATATATGACAATGCCTTGAAACTTGTCATCAATTTGCCAGTTGGGGCTGCATATTCGTTTACAGATGTCTGCCTGTGCTGTTTGGCTATTCAGTTATGTATTATTGGAAGAGAAAGCCTGCCAAATGGTGTGGGTGTGTGTGCACATTTGGCTGTCTCAGCAGCTGATACCAAATGTTGGAAATAACTATTTCCATCTGTCATTTTCATCTCCCCCCACTCTCCCTCCACCCTAAAATTATGTTAGGAACAGTTTCTTACCTCCTTAGATATTTATGTCAGACAAGGGCTCAAGCAAAAGATGTATACATTATCATTAAAGTTTCATAATACCTTATGACTCTGTGGAATTCTTGTAACTTTCTTTTCATAGCTGAAATATCTTACATGGCTTGATGAATTCTTCAGACTTACTACATACTTGTCTTGGTTGCAGTACTCTCATTGTCTTTTTTTTTTTTTTTTTTTTTTTTTTTGAGACGGAGTTTCGCTCTTGTTACCCAGGCTGGAGTGCAATGGCACGATCTCGGCTCACCACAACCTCCGCCTCCTGGGTTCAAGCAATTCTCCTGCCTCAGCCTCCTGAGTAGCTGGGATTACAGGCATGCGCCACCATGCCCAGCTAATTTTTTTTTTTTTTTTTGTATTTTTAGTAGAGACGGGGTTTCACCATGTTGACCAGGATGGTCTCGATCTCTTGACCTCGTGATCCTCCCGTCCCGGCCTCCCAAAGTGCTGGGATTACAGGCTTGAGCCACCACGCCCGGCCTCATTGTCTTAAACACATAGTAAATTGACAAATGCTATAGAAAGGGTGACATTCTCATAGCAATGGACTGATTCTTAGATTAAACAGTATTTGTTGTTCGATGTTAAATTTTATGTTTGAAACTTCAACCTAGGAATATCGAATTTCATTGTTCTTGGTTGCTTCAACATCTGTGAACCCTGTTGTGAACTGTGCATGTTAGGGATCTAAGTTGTGCACTCCTTATGAAAATCTAATGCCTGATGATCTTCCGAGGTGGACCGATTTCGCCCCGAAGCCATATCCCAACCCCCACACTCTGTCAGTGGAAAAATTGTCTTCCGTGGAACTGGTCCCTGGTGCTAAAAAAGATTGTGGACCGCTGTTCCAATAGACCCATCCTGTTTTTGTACATCATTCATAGTTTTTCTTCCTAATTTTATATTCTATTATGTAGATTTAGGTAAAGTCTACCTTTTTTTTTTTTTAATTATTATTATTATTTTTTGAGATGGGAGTTTTGCTCTTATTGCCCAGGCTGGAGTGTAATGGCATGATCTTGGCTCACCAGAACCTCCACCTTTCATATTCAAGTGATTCTCCTGCCTCAGCCTCCCGAGTAGCTTGGATTACAGGCATGCCTCACCACGCCTGGCTAATTTTGTATTTTTAGTAGAGACAGCATTTCTTTATGTTGGTCAAGCTGGTCTTGAACTCCTGACCTTAGGTGATCCACCCACCTCAGCCTCCCAAAGTGCTGGGATTACAGGTGTGAGCCATGGTGTCTGGCCAGCTGAAGTCTTAACTTTCTCCCTTAAGCTACCCATATTGGGTTTTCCAAGTAAAGGACAGTCGTATATTTCAAGAGGCTGTTCATGTATACCATTAATTTTTGCAATCTTTACTATTTGTTGAGTTATTTAAGTATCTTTGTTTTCTTAGTGCTTTGCACATGAACTTGGGTACGAATCAGAAATTTGCTGTAATTCTAAAGGGACAGGATAGAGGGATCAGGTTAGAAGGGCACAGGGAGGGAGTATCTAGGAATTATGAACGCCATGTCCCCAAATAATGTTCTAATGCTAAATTGTTTTCTTAAGTGGATAAAAATAAAAATTCTATTGTGTGCTAGTTTTGTTTCTTGAATTTATAAGTAACTTTTTATCATTGAACATTTTCTCATTTTTTTCTACGGCTCCTATCTTTAAAATAAATCAGACCATGGTTTAGGGTAGAGCAGTGGGATAATAGGATTATTTCTATGTATGTAATTTTGTCCTATTTTTTAAAATTCCAGTTGTTTAATTTTAGTATCATTATTTGTTTTATTCCTTATTTTGCTGTAATTTTTTCGTGTAGATTGTTTAGCATAGTTTTATACCTGATATGAAGTATAAACCACCTGTAGCAGGGCTAACACATAATTTCGTAAATGATCAGATAGATTCCTTGGATTTATAATTTACAAGGCTCATCGTCGTGTTGTATGACTTAAGTTGTAGAATAACCTCTTCTAAATTATTAAATGTTAGAAGATAGCGCCAAAAGTTATGCATGGAAAATAAAAATTATGGAGTGTATCATTGCTTGAGGCAGGGTTAGCAGGTGGGGTGTTGAGATTATAAGTAGACAACTCTCCTAGAGACCAGCCTAATAACCATGAGTCCTGGAGCTACCACTTAATCATTCTTGGGTTGATTTTGATGAGAGACCCAACTGCTTTGGTCTTTATGTCTTCATTTATTAAAATAATAATCCTTAAGGTTTTTCCAATCCTAAGCCTTCTGTTATTCTGTCTGGAAATAAAATATTTAACTGTCTTTTTCATATTTTAGGACCCAGATGATGTGGTACCAGTTGGCCAGAGAAGAGCCTGGTGTTGGTGCATGTGCTTTGGACTAGCATTTATGCTTGCCGGTGTTATTCTAGGAGGAGCATACCTTTACAAATATTTTGCACTGCAAGTAAGTGGAAAAATTATTTGTGTCTCTCTCTCTCTTTTTTTTTTTTTTGCCTCTCCTGATGTGCATTACAAAGTTGTTTGTACTTTAAGCTTGTACTTTTTGTCTGTGGCCTTCAGCCAGAGTGGTAGTTCTGTTTTAAAGCTGTGTTTAAACATCTCTCCATAGTATGTTTGCTGAGCTCATTAGACACAGGTCACTAAAAGCAGAGTAACTTGTTTTGAAATGTTGCTGACTAAAGGATTTATTTGGGTTGTTGGGTGATTTTACTAAACTTTATTTTCCTACTATAATTAAGGGTTGAGAGGCATAGTATTATCAATTGCCAATTGAATAAATACATCAGCCACAAATTTTGTCATGTTGATAGGCCATAATTTGATAGTCAACTTGGGCTCCCCCATTATCCTACTGTACTCTTGGGCCCAGAGTATAGTAAAACCATGTCTCTGCTTCTTTTCCAGTTACTGGTTTCTCTAAAGAACTGGGTGACTTCAGCAGTGATATTGAAATATAACAGGATGAAAGTTGTTTATAACTTTGAATATTTAATAGTAATCCCAATGGGCTAAGACAAAGGTTTTCCTACTGATTATGATTTATAATCTGTTTTGTGATATATTTCTCTTGGCAATAATTCAGAAGTTTTTTTTTTTTAAAGAGTTTTGAAGGAAAAATTACTTTCAAGGTTTAGCAACTAGACTTATTAAAATAATTTAAATAATTTTGAAGCATTCTAAATTTCATGCTCATTTTCTTTATTATTTAAGATAATCGCATGTTGATGGACATTACTAAAATACTAGTCATCTTTTTTAATACTTTTTTTTAATGAGAAATACATATGATATACAAAAAATTAGTGCAATTCCATTTTCCAGAGATAACATTTGGTGCATTAACATTTTATATACCCTTAGTCTTTATTGTGTGTGTAGAGTGTGTGTGTGTGTGTGTGTAGAGAGTGTGTGTGTGTGTACATGTACTGGTTTTTTTGAGATGGGGTCTCATTCTGTCACCTAGGCTGGAGTGCAGTGGTGTGATCACAGCTCACTGCAGCCTCATCCTCCTGGGCTCAAGCAATCCTCCCACCTCAGCCTCTCCAGTAGCTGGGGCTACAGGTGTATGCCACCATGCCCAGCTAATTTTTTATTTTTTTGTGGAGACAGGGTCTCACCATGTTGCCCAGGCTGGTCTTGAACTCCTGGGCTCACACAGTCCACCTGCCTCAAGCCTTTGCCCCCACCACCCCGAAGTACTAGGATTACAGGCATGAATTACTGCATCCAACCTTATATACTGTTTTTTCTTTTTTCAAAAGTGAGACAGTAGCATAAAGATGTGCTGTAATCTAATATTTTCCACTGAATTGTGATATAAAGGGAAAATTTGAACTACCTGTAGGCATATGAAATTTCAGAATATTCATCCCTTTTTTGGCTAATAAGAAAAAAACCATTTTATCAGTAGACCATATCAAAAGTTTTAAATATATTTTTTCAGAAAAACATGACTACTTTTGAAATACATTCTTTTATAAAAACTGCTTACAGGTAGAGTAGGTCTGTTGTTTCTTTATTTGTTACTGGATGGCTAATTATTTTTGTGTTCTATTTTCATCTGTCATGAAAAGTGAAGGGAAAACCAGCTGCTTTTCTTCATCTGAAGCTGTTCTTTTACAGTACTTCAAAACCTGATCTTAAAGAATATGTTAACTGTGTAATTAAACTGTCTGACTTGTCATCTAAAAGCAAGAGTTTGCAAGCAAAATGCTACTTAGATAGAGGTGGCAGCTTAAGTAATACTTGTATTTAAAAACCTGTCTCATGCTGAATTGCTGAAATGAGTCTTTAAACTTTCTATAGCCAGATGACGTGTACTACTGTGGAATAAAGTACATCAAAGATGATGTCATCTTAAATGAGCCCTCTGCCGATGCCCCAGCTGCTCGCTACCAGACAATTGAAGAAAATATTAAAATCTTTGAAGAAGAGGAAGTTGAATTTATCAGTGTGCCTGTCCCAGAGTTTGCAGATAGTGATCCTGCCAACATTGTTCATGACTTTAACAAGGTGAGCCAAGTGTCCAGAATTGTAGAAAGAATGCAGGTTCTTTATGCTTTTCGTAGTTTTAATTTCAATATTTGCTAATTTATTACATTTGAGTTTAATTGTCAGCATTTGGTGGGCTCTGCTTTGTCTGAAGCAGACCCTGATGACCCAGCCTTCTCTTAAGTTGTCTTTTCCTTCCCCTTGCCTTACCTACTCTTAAAGCCCACCTCATGACTATTCCTCCTTTGCTGGCAAATTAGTATTTCTTGCATGCTCCCACATTTTCTTAGATAAGAGGTAATTTATGTTCCTGTCTTTTGGTGGCATTTTCAAAGTCAATAATTTTGTTAATCTGTTTTTAATTTCTCATTCTACATTCTCCCCTAGCTTCTGAGCATCTCTATGTAATGCAGAAAAGTTGAATACCTGAAATCTTCCACTTTATTCCAAAATTTGCCATATTTCTGTCATTTAACATAAGTTACTTAAGCTGTTATCTCTCAAGAGTGAGGTGTTCTCCTACGTGACCACATCATTATCACATCTAAGAAAATTGACACGATCATGTAGGTCAGCAGTCCTTTCTTATCCATGGGGGATATATGCTAAGACCCCCAGCGGATGTCTGAAAATACAGATAGTACCAAACCCTAAATACTATGATTTTTCCTATTAGTGTCCATGTATATGTATGTTAAAATTTAATTTACAAATTAGCCACAGTAATAGATTAACAATTTAATAATAAAACAGTTATAACAAAATTCTATAATAAAAGTTATGTGAAGGTGGTTTCTCAAAATACTTTATTATACTGTACTCACCTAGGTATTTGTGGACTGCAGTTGACTGAAGGTAACTGAAACTCAGGAAATACAACCTCAGATGAGAGGGACTACTGTATTTAATATGTTTAAATTTATGTTTATGTTTAAATGTCCCCAGTTTTTGTCCCAAGAATTTTTTTTTGTTTTTTCAAATCAGGATTCAGAGATTCAGAAGTTTATGTATCACCTGTGATTTTTATGTCTCTCTGTAAGCTTGCCATTTTGAACACTCCATTACATTACTCAGTTAGCTTTGCAAACATTTCGTGCCTGATAAATACATCTGATGGATGTTTCTAAACCAGTTTGAAAATGTACTTCAAGGAAATAAACATCCAAAGCAAACAGTAAATAATAATAGCTAACACTGAGCTCTTAGGAATCAAAATGTTGACATTGTTTGGTTTACCTTATTCTTAAAAACCGTCCTATGAGACAGTCTTTCTCAACCAGCATTTCTCATTTGAACCACAGAACACAACATCATTTAAATGACTGTTTTTCTAATGTTCTAAAGATGGTAGTAGTATTCAAGATACATTCAAGAAAAGTCAATCTTTACGTACAATGGACAGATACCTTAGAGGGTACTTGAGCTTCTAAGTGAGAAAGTTAAATTGCTTAGTTATATAGTAAGTATTTGTAGTTAATTTGAATAGGTATTATTCTTATTATAGAAATATACCCTTGATAAGTATTTTATTTACTGGTAGCAATATTTTTTCCTGTCCCATTCCCACTTCCAACTTTATCCAGCCAAATTCTGAAATCGTTGAAATGTAAGTGATTTATACATTCTAAAGCCAATTCACTTCTATAGTATAAATTATTCCTAAAAATCTAGTTGCTTCCTGTTGTACAAGTATTACTCTAACTATACTGTATCTTTTTCTCCTCAGAAACTCACAGCCTATTTAGATCTTAACCTGGATAAGTGCTATGTGATCCCTCTGAACACTTCCATTGTTATGCCACCCAGAAACCTATTGGAGTTACTTATTAACATCAAGGTATAAGAATGTTGACTATTTTTGATGAATGATGCCTTTATAGTGTTTTGGAATTCCCTATTGAGAAATTAGCCCTACAGCAGCCCATTTTTATCAGACCCTTGTTAAGAATTTTACAAAGAGGAGCTAATACTCTTGGTTTTTGTTAGGTTTTATATCTTAAAATTGAAATATAATTTCTCAAATAATGTTTTAAGTTTTCCTAAAGAGCCAGAGAGTAAATATTAGCCAACTACTTAATTCTGATGCCATAGAAAATATGTTAACAAATAAGCATGACTATATTCCAAAAAAACTCCACTTATAAAAACAGGCCGAGGGCAGTGGCTCATGCTTGTAATCCTAGGACTTTGGTAGGCCAAGGTGGGAGGATCGCTTGAGGCCAGGAATTTGAGACCAGTCTGGGCAACATAGTAAGAACATAAAACAAACAGATAATAGGTAGTAGTTTGGCAACCTGTTCCATATCGTAATGTATAAGATCTTTGTCTTGTTACTCTAGTCTGCTCAGCATATGTTCTGAGATAGTCATATCATGTATTCTTTTCTGAATGTAGGCTGGAACTTATTTGCCTCAGTCCTATCTGATTCACGAGCACATGGTTATTACTGATCGCATTGAAAACATTGATCCCCTGGGTTTCTTTATTTATCGACTGTGTCATGACAAGGAAACTTACAAACTGCAACGCAGAGAAACTGTTAAAGGTAATACTTTCTAAATATTAAGGTGTTTGGCAGAAAAGTTCATTGCATTAAACTAGATTTAGGTGAAGCTTAGTCATTGTTACCAATGTACTTGCCGTGAATGAGATAATATTGTGTCATCATATAATATTTCCAAGTTTCTATAGAATTATCTTAATTCTGTTTAATAAATTCACTCTTTTCAGATGGAGAGAAAAGGTCAATGTGAAATGTCATTGCCTTGAGATTCTGGTACCTCACTTTCCATCTAGTTACCCTGTCCAACTTTCCATCCTACCACTTTGGTTCAGCCATACTGAAAGAGTTTTTATTATCCAGAGGGTCTCTTGGGACCATCTCTTAGTATCTCAGGGATCTGGATACTAAGCAGGCTGTTTGGTTTTTGGATCACATTGGGAATAATCACTGTCAGGTTAGCTGGAAAGGAATTTGGATGAGGAATTAAGAGCATTGAAACAACTAATATAGCTTTGCCAAATCATTTAACCTTTAACCTTTACTTTCTCACCTGAAATATAAGGATTACAATATCTCCCCATTTCCTTTTAAGATCATTGTGAAAATAAAAAGAAAGTACATGTGGCAGCTGTGGAAAGTAAGAAATGCCATTCACATACACTGTGGTGTGATTTCTTTGGAATTGTGTCACCCAGTATAAGTGCTTTCCTGGCTTTTTGCTAGCATTTCAAATAATACTGTTCTTTCATCTCTGGCCATTGAGTCATCTGAAACCAGCTTGATTTCCTTTTTTTTTTTCCCCCAACTTTTATTTTTGATTTAGTGAGTACATGTGCAGGTTTGTTACAGAGGATATATTATCTGATGCTGAGGTTTGGGGTACAAATGATCCCATCACTCATGTAGTGAGCATAGTATCCAGTAGGTAGTTTTTCAACCCTTACCTCCTCCCTCCCTCTTTTCCTTATAGTCCTCAGTATCTATTATTCCCTTCTTTATGTCAGTCCTACTTACAAGTGAGAGCATTATAAGGTAGGTGTTTGGTTTTCTGTTTTTGTGTTAATTCACTTATGATAATGACCTCCAGCTGCATCCATATTGCTACAAAGGACATGATTTCATCTTTTTTATGACTGTGTTGACTTCTTACATTTAAAAATTCTCTTGATTTATAATTTTTTTAAGTCAGACTTACACGTGCAATGGAATTTACCCTTTTTAGTGTGCAATTCTGAGTTATACTGCAAAGATACACGTGGTCTTGCTAACATCACCATAGTCAAGATATAGAACATTTTCTTTATATGTGTGTGTGTGTGTGTGTGTGTGTGTGTGTGTGTATATAAAAAATAAAATTGTGTGTATGTATATAAAATACAGACACGTGTGTGTATGTATATATATATACATACATATATACACACATATATATGTATTTTTTATTTTACTTTAGGTTCTGGGGTACATGTACAGATCATGCAGGATTGTTGCATAAGTACATACATGGCAATGTGGTTTGCTGCCTCCATTCCCCCACAGAACATTTTCAGTACCTTCAAGTTCATGAATTTGTAAGCAATCTGTATAGCATTATTAATGTTGCTATGATCTGTCAAGATGTTTAATACTTAGTTCAGAAAGGGAGAAAAGCTTTTTCTTCAGTGTAAACAAATTCAAACTGTAGAAGTTTTGTGGAGTATAGAGTAAAATATTTCTATATGTCTAAACTATAAAGATTATGTGAATATTTATTACTAGAGAACCAAAATTTTAAAAAACCTTTTTTTTCTCAAACAGGTATTCAGAAACGTGAAGCCAGCAATTGTTTCACAATTCGGCATTTTGAAAACAAATTTGCCGTGGAAACTTTAATTTGTTCTTGAACCGTCAAGAAAAACATTATTGAGGAAAATTAATACCACAACATAACCCCACCCTTTACATTTTGTGCAGTGATTATTTTTTAAAATCTTCTTTCATGTAAGTAGCAAACAGGGCTTTACTATCTTTTCATCTCATTAATTCAATTAAAACCATTACCTTAAAATTTTTTTCTTTCTAAGTGTGATGTCTTTTATATTTGAATTAGTAACTGTATGAAGTCATAGATAATAGTACACGTCACCTTAGGTAGTAGGAAGAAATCATTTATCTGGATTTTTATGTTTTATTAGCATTTTCAAGAAGATAGATTATCTAAGAGAATAATCATATATATGCATACATAAAAATGGACCACAGTGACTTATTTGTAGTTATTAGTTGCCCTGCTACCTAGTTTGTTAGAGCATTTGAGCACACATTTTAATTTTCCTCTAATTAAAATGTTCAGTATTTTCATTGTCACATTTAACTATTTAGAGAATGATTTCCACCTTTATGTTTTAATATCCTAGGCATCTGCTGTAATAATATTTTAGAAAATGTTTGGAATTTAAGAAATAACTTGTGTTACTAATTTGTATAACCCATATCTGTGCAATGGAATATAAATATCACAAAGTTGTTTAACTAGACTGCGTGTTGTTTTTCCCATATAATAAAACCAAAGAATAGCTTGGTTCTTCATGTCTTAAGAGAATCCACATAAGGGAAGAAACTATTTTTTAAAAATTCACTTCTATATATACAATGAGTAAAAGCATAGATTTTTCTTTAAATAAAAATAAGTCATTTTAATAACTAAACCAGATTCTTTGTGGATGCTATTAAAGTAACATTTAAGCCTCAACCTTGAATGATGTTGATATAAAATGCTTTTATTTTTTATGGAAGGGCTATTAAAGCCTAGCGTTTCCAAGAAACAAAATGCTGTGCTTCTCTGAGAATGCTCCCGTCACAAATGGAACATTTTGAGTTGATGATGATTTTGATATTTTCAAGGTTGCTTCCTCTCTGAAATAATTCTGAATCCATCCCCATTTAAAATACCTATGATTCACTTCACCTCAGATTCCTAAGACAAAAAATTTCAGTTCTGACTTTAGCAGATCACAGTTTTTAAGTCTTCAGACTCTTAAAGGATTTGGTCTAGAAACCAATTCTAATCAAAAGGATATTATTTGCTCATGGCTCTTCGCTCCTCATTTCATTTCAGTAATATTGTCAGAGCTTTAAGCCAGTGAGTTGAGTATTCAGGAATTAACAATTTTAGAAGAGAATATGTGTCGATAAAATGAGAATGGATTTTTCCTACTCTCCAGGCTCTAAAATTTCAAAAATTTTCAGGGAGCCGTGAACATTTAGGAGCATATTATTCATTCAGCATCTTTTATATGCCCAACATGTGATACCGTGTTGAAGACACATCTGCAAAGAAGAAAAAAGGCCACTGCTATCATGGAGACTCACAATCTAGGAAAAGAGACTGACAACCAGTTGCACTACATTGGGATCAGTAGTGTGAGGGAGAAGAACAGGTCTAGGTACTTTGGAAAACATTTAGGAGATTCAGTGATACTTTTAGAATGTGAGGTGCATGGGATTAGGTCATAGAAGACCGTATATTGAAGGTTTGCGTTTTGGAGGCGCTTAGTTTGTTTTCTCATTGATTATGGTAGTAATGCAGTATTGGGGTAGCTGAACTGCAGTAATAATCCCAACATCTCACTGGCTTCATGTAGTAGGAATGTACTTTCATCACAGTCCAGTGTGGCAGGCAGCCTCCAGACTCCCAGGGACCCAGGCTTACACTTTACTAAATATAATGGTTTCATTTGCATTTTTAAAGGTTTTTATATAATCATCTTATTAAAACATTTGATACTTCTTCACAACATTTGCAATCATTGATTTGGTCAGATTGGTCTAACATGGTACCCATGATTTTACTTCATTTCTATTACGATTCTGATAATTTCCTTTAGTCAGTTGAGTAGAGTTACTCCCTCACCCAAGCATAGTCGTTCAGATGTGTCCCAGGAATTTTAGAACTCCAACTGAGATTTCAGGCCCATTATTCATTCTAGGGCTGAATGAATAATATGCCCTTTGAACTTTTGTGACATGCTGGAAACTGTGGTCTTGGTGTGGCATGGAAAAACCAGAGGGCGAAGGATGTGGATAAGAAGATGACAAAGAGAATCAGACATGCAGAGAGGACTGCCAGATCTCACAGTGGGCTCCAGGAAGACTTGGCTATCCTTCCCTGTTCTTGAGTTCTTAGTCCATTTGGGCTACTATAGCAAAATACCATGGACCAAGTGGCTTTAAACAACAGAAACTTATTTCTCAATAGTTCTGGAAGCTGGAAAGTTCAAGATCAAGTCACCCGCGGATTCAGTGTCTGATGATGTCCTCCCTCGTCACAGACAGCTCTCTTCTCTCTGTGACCTTACAACACAGATTTTTCTGGGTTTCTCTCATAAGGACTCTAATCCCATTCATGAGGGCTCCACTCTCTTGATCTAACACTTCTCAAAGGCCCCATTTCCTAATACCGTCACCTTAGAGGTGAGGATTTCAACATGAATTTTGGGGGAAGACTCATGCAGACCATAGAAAGTTCCATAATGTACCCCATCGTGTGTGTATTTATATATTTGTCTAAGATAGTTCTAGTTTGCTACTTTGCAACACATTCTGTCCCTATTGCATTGGTTGAAAAAAGAGTACAGAAGTCAAGATAAGACTATATAAATTTTGACAAGTTGTTAGGACTCTGGCCATGATTGCTCATCTGTGACACAGCAGTGAGAATCTGGCTCAAAAGGTGGCTGAGAAATAATGGGCATGAAAGTGCTTTGTACAGCTCTGTACAGTTGCTGACAGTACTGTTTTTAAAACCTGTCACAGCTATATATTAGCAAGCAAACACTGATCTTGTTTTGTAATGTGCAATTTTTCATTTCTGCTTTTCCTGTATCCCTTTTAGACTCCATAACCATATTAGTGAGAGGCAAGAAAAAAAATGCAGTGTTCTAAATGTTATCTTAAATAATAGAAGTAGGAGTGTAAAACTTAAAGACTGGTTAATACTGCAAATGAAAAGACAAATGGCTATTGAATGGAAAAGGTCTAGATTCCATGTTCGAATGTGGTTATGAGTTAATGCTGGCAGAATCTCAAGATTCTGCTAAGTGCACATTTAATAGTTTTCTAGACATCTCTTCCACCTAGCAAAGAGTTTGTTGCCCAGAGTTATATAAATCCTACGCTATTGGACACTAATCCTTACATGTTTAACTCTTTGAGACTTACGTTTCTAGATAAGGACTTCATGTGTATCAAATTAGAAAAAGAACAATTCTTCATCTCCACAAAGCTACACAGCCATCAGTTTGTTGAATGTCTTGTCCAAAGTAATTGCTAGCTTGCTTCTTTCTGAGTCTTTGTGGTTGGTTAATACTTTTTTGAGGAAGAAGCATGATTTAGGCTCAGCTCCCTATTGATCATTTTAGGCTTTTACTGAATAAAAGAGCAATTTAAGATTTTTTTGAAATATTTACTGAATTTTGTAGCCATAAACTAAAATATTTGCTGATAGCACACCCCTATCGGTTCGTAGATTCCACAGTTTTAATATTCCAGCCGCATATTGCAGATAGGTTCTGAAAAGCAGGATGAGTGGGAGTGGGCTCTTTAGGGGTCAAAACTGAGCGATAATCCTAGCTTCCTCCCACTTACAATAATTTCATGGGACTTCTATATCTGATGTTTAAGCTTATATTTGTATTTATGTTTTGATTGTAAAAATACCAAATACAGAAATGTTGAAGGTGAAAACTATAAATGTTCCCTCTCTTTACACCATCCTCCTTCCTCAGTCCAATTCCCCAACAGTTGAATGTGTGATACAGTGATGTATGATACAAAATGACCTAGTTCTTGCCCTAGTGACTAAGAAGATGCAAACACCTTCTGGTGAGATGATACAGTCTTACCACCATCCACACAGAGCTTCTTCAAGAAACCCAAGCCAGAAACCCCACCACAGTCTCCACAGTCCACCTCCCAGCAGCTTCCTGCTGTTCTGCACTGGTAGTTCTCCCTACTTCCCCACACTTACCAGTGGACCACAGCAGTCTTTCCGAAACACAAATTTGATGCTTTCATTGTCACACCCCCGCTTAAAACACTTTCCTGGCTTCCCCTGGTTCTTAGGATAAAGACCAAAATACTAATGCTGCACAGTCCAGTCCCAGCCCACTCTCCAGCTTCATCTTAATCGTATCCTCCTTTGCCCCCAGTGTCCTGCCATGTTGCCTGCCTTACTGTTTCTTGGTAAATGCTATTCTTACTTCCCGAAGATTATTTCCATCTGTTCCCCCAATGCCCTTCAGTTAGCTTCCATTCAACCTTCAGAATTTAGTCCAGGTGACCCTTCCTCAAGAGAAACCTTTCCTGAACCATTAGGAAAGGCTTCTCTTGTTTCTCATTCTCATAGCATCGTCTGTTTCTTTTTTGTGACTTGAATATAATTAGTATTTTGTCCTTACTGCTTGTTTGGTTAATGTATTTCCCCCACTAGACTCCTCAATACCTTAGTAGGGCTCCTGGCACATGGAGCTCTTATTTATTGAATGAATAAATCATTCCTTCCCTGTACTACCCTTGTCTTGCCCACTGTCATTTTTATTCTGGATATTATATTTCCCAACCAGTTGTCTGGCTTTTTCCTCAGATCTCATCCCCTTGAATCTGAGTGAGATGTCTTGAATACAAATCTAATCATGTCTTCTGTAAAATTCAGTGATGGCGTCCTGCTGCACTTAAGAGAAAATCCTTACATTTTTCAAGCTCTAAAATCTTGCCCTCACTAGACTTCTCTCACCATTTTTCTGTTTGCATCTTAACCTTTTCAGTTTTGGTCTCATATAAGCTTGCGACCCTGCCTGAAACAGTTGTCTCTGTCCCCACTCCACCCCCTGCTCTCCACAAAGAAAAGTTAATGCCTACTTGTCTTTCAGACCTCAGATTAAAAGTTTCCTCAGAGAGCCCACCACAGCTATTTCTCATACCCTTCATGATACTTTATTACCTATCTTCATGCAATCCTCCTCTAGACTACTAGCAAAATACTAATACTGTGTCGTCAGTACTTGGCATATAATAGATCTTCTTGACATTGAAGAAAGAAAGAAACACCTTGGTCGTCTGTAGCTAGAAAAAAAAATACTATGGTGTCTACTTCGTTAAAACCAAAAGGTTTACTTATTTATTTTTTTGGCAGACCATCTTAATTATTCAGGATGGACAATTAATATTTGTTGAATGAATGAGCTACGTGGATTAACTCATTCAGCTGGTAACAGTTATACTTGGAGGCTATTTCATCTTGGCAGCCTTGTTCAAAGGCATAGCCTCGTTTTAAGTAAAATGTTCTGTCGGAGCCATATTAAGATTTGTATGTGACAAATTTGTGTGTGTGTGTGTGTGTGTGTGTGTGTATATATATATATACACAAATGTTTCAAACCAAGATTATATCTTCTTCTATAAAGCCACCTTCTTCCAGGATAGTATTTTGGGCCAGATGGTTTTCCACATTTAAAAGATACCAACATTCTTTTAAGGCCCAGTGATTTGTCAAAAGAGATTGGCACTACATTTTAAAATGTAGGGGGAATTTTTGATTATCACAGGACTAGAGGATGCCATTTGTATTTAATAGGTGAAGCCAGGCAGTATGCTAAGTGTCTTAAAAGTCCAGGAGTCCTGCACAACAAATTACTGCCCTTCCTGATTT